ACAGACATTGTAGAGCTCCAGATAGTAGGTGACTTCTATGTGCCGTTACTACGCTGTGTACCTGTGCAGGGGCAAGACAATGATTTCATAACTGTGACCTATGACCGTCCACATTATGTGCCGGTCAGCAAACATCACATCGATACCGTTACTATAGAAATCAAAACTGACCAGGACAAAAACGTGCATTTTTATCACGGGAAGGTGATTGTCAAGCTTCATTTTAGGCCTCGGAAAAGTGAAGGATGGTTGTAAACAAGGAGCACGGGAGACCTCAAGACTATGTGGCTTACTACAGGGCACAAGCTGGGGGAGGCCTTCCAGGCTTCCGAGGAGCCCCCATTATGTACGAGACCGGTTTAGGAGGGTTGTTCCGTGGACTTTTTCGAAAAGCAATGCCTTTTTTGAGGTGAGGATTAGAAATCATTAAACTGCATGTGAAATCTGCCAAAAACATTGCCAGAGATGTTGAGGGACGTCTTGTATCCTGTGTTGTTGAGAGTGGGCAGGATGGATCAGGGCTGGTCATAGCCAGGAAGAATTACACATTGTGCCTGACAATTCCGTTTAAAAAGAGAAGACTTGTGAAAAAGTCCCATCATAAAAAGGGGAGACGTGCGCAGAAGAGGAAACCCCGTGACAAGGAAGACATATTCTAAGACAATATGTCATTTATTCATTCTGCTTCAAAGGAATGTGTTAAATCTGAACTGGGATCTTTTTCAACTGGCACATACACAGGCCAGTATTGAAAACAGTACCTATGTCGAGATCTCTCCTTTATCAGCACTAACGCCCAATGCCCCCCTGGAGTTTTTCATCATGGGGCATGGTGAACATTACAGGGATTTAAACAACACCCTGCTGTATGTGAGTTGTAAGATTGTAAAGGCTGACAGGTCAGATATTGATGATGGGGCAAGGATGGCCCTGACCAATTACCCCATAGCATCACTGTTTAACTAGCTGGATGTTACCTTGGGAGATCAGCTCATTACACAGAGCCATCATTGCTATTCTTATCGGGCCGTAATTGAACTGATTCTCAACTTTGGTGGTGATGTGCTGGATATCCAATTTACTTCTGAGGTTTTTTACAAAGATGACTTGGACCTCATGGAAAATATCTTACTGACAGCGGCTGGGAACTCTGGTTTCAAAGCGAGAGCAAGACATACAGCTGGTAGTCGTAAATGGGACCTGCTTGGGCCTCTGCATAGCGATCTTTTTTTTCAAGCAGACTGCTAATTAACGGCATTGATGTGAAAGTCAAACTCACAAGAAGCAGAAATGAATTTTGCATGATGAAGGATGGCAATGATCATTACAAAGTGCAACTCCTGGCAGCTTCTCTCTTTGTAAAGGGTGTAAAAGTAGCCCCGGGAGTGTGCCTTGGCCATGCAGAAGCTTTGCTCACCTCCAATGCCAAATACCCCATTGATCGAGTGGGGATGAAGGTTTACAGCATCCCCACAGGTAGTCTTGTGTGTAATCAGGAAAATCTATTTCTGGGGCAGTTGCCTAAACAATTAGTGATTGCGTTTGTGGACAATGCATCTTTTAGTGGGGATTATGAAAGAAATCCATTCAATTTTCAACACTGCAATGTCAATTTTTGCGCCCTGCATTGTGATGGCGAACAGATCCCCACAAAGCCTCTTCAGCCTGATTATGTATTTTTATGTTGTATTTTGTGTTTTTTAAATAATTGTGGGGATTGCCTGGTTGTTTGATTGGGTATGGTGTGAAGGCTGGGACTGTAACTGGGTACCTCCTACACTGAGTGCTTTGCAGAAGTGTTAGGGGGGCCCAGGTTGGATCCCGTCCTTAGTATGTATGATTCGGAGGGCCTGTCGGGGAACATGGTGGCTATGGAGGAGGGTGAGGGGCCCATGGGCACGGGAGTGGGCCGGAGCATTACGGTCCTAACCAGGAGGGGCAGATATGGCGGGGACTTTAGGGCTGGCCATTACCGGGGAAGGAGGGTTCGCTANAACCATGGAAAAAAGTACATCTCGGCAGTTATCAATGTGTTATCTAAATATACCTGGGCCTTCCCTTTATCTGGTAAATCAGGGGGGGAAGCAACATCAGCCTTCCAGAATATCTTTGAAACAGGATGCGCACCCCAAAAAATACAGACAGATGCAGATAAAGAGTTTTGGAATACCCAGCTGAAGAAACTTTTAGCACGTTATGGCATTCATCATTTTGTCACTCATAGTGAAACTAAAACAGCAGTTATAGAAAGGTTTAATAGAACCCTAAAAAACAAACTTGAGATATTTCACAGCTAGAAATACCCATCGGTATGTGGACATTTTGGCAGATACTCTTCAGGGGTACAATAGCACTTACCATCGTAGCATTGGGACTGCTCCTTACACTGTAAATTTGTCTAATGAAAGGGATGTGTAGATGAGGCTTAATGGGGTAGGTTTAAAAAGTAAAAGAAAGGAAAAATGTCTTAAGGTGGGAGATCATGTCAGGGTATCTAGACTGAAGGCAAAGTTTGAAAAGGGCTATCAGCAAACCTATACGGATGAAATATTCATCGTCAAAGAACTGGGGGACAAGTGGGGAAAGAATGGTGTATAGATTAAATGATTACACAGTTGACCCTGTAAAGGGTTTTTTTTTTTTTTTTACTTTGAGGAGCTCCAAAAGTTTCCTGCTGACCAACAGCACATATACAGAATAGAGAAAATTATTCAAAAAAGAAGGCAGGGGAGACACAGAGAATTTCTAGTCAAATGGACTGGATGGTCAGAAAAGTTCAACAGTTGGGTTAAGGCTACTGAAGTCCAACCTCTTTAATATGGCGGAATTTTACATCACCCTTCCCAGCAATGCATCAGCAGCAATTTTTCCCCAAAACAAAAATTCTAATTTTACTATTCAATTAGCGAGATCNGTAAGAAGGTCGCAAAAAAGTTTATGACACTGCAACTGTCATAAATATGAGTCAGTTGCCAAGTTTCTGAATTTTAATCATGTGACCTTGGGAATGCTACAAAGATTGTAAGTGCGACAAACAGTCATAAGTCACTTTTTTCAGTGCCATTGTAACTTTAAGTGGTCACTAAATGAATTGTTGTAAATCGAGGACTACCTTTATTGATGTACTGCTCAGTGAAAAAGACAATTCCAATATGCAGTGACTAGAAAAATGAAAAATAGTAAGTTCTCTATTACAGATCAGTAATAAACTGTCTAAAATAAAACTAAGGACATTTACTTGCCCTCAGGGAAATATTTGCTGTCTGTGTATTGAGCACCATGCATTCTTCTGGTTGCTGCATTCAACTTACAACCACAACCATTTCAAACATTGCAAGAAGGGAGAAAATGATTTCAAGTTCTCTTTCTCTCTTCTAGCAGTGTTTGAGACACCTCATATTTAATTTAATTTATTTATTTGTATCTCACCCAAGGTTACCCAGCCGGCATTCATAGCTAAGGACAGTCTCAAACTCACAGTCTCTGACCTTCTAATCTGGTGCCTTAACAAGTAGACCAAGCTGGCTCTGTATTTGTGTGTGTGCAATCCTCTTTTCTCCTCCTTTAAAGCACTGGAAGGAGTGGAGGCTCTTTTGGGAGCCTTTCCATTGTAATTGTAAGTCATGGTGATCATTCATTAAGCAAAACTGTCTTGCTCAACGACCCCAAAACTTATGCTACCAATTGAACCTGTCATTAACCAATAATATGGGTCATTAAGCGAATGGAGTCCCAGTGCAGGGTTGGTTCAAGAGTAGGGGATGGTAGAGGAGGCCTGGTGCAGGCCATGTGTGAGTTGGACAGTGTACTGCAGTGCAGCACAAACACTAGGAGGCTGGAAAAGAAGCTATAGCCTGGTTGGAATGGGAAGCTTCAGCCACACCAGCCACACCAGTCCAGATTTCTCCTTGCAGTGTATGACACATATATCAGGGGTGGGCTGCTGCCGGTGTTGCTGCTGGTTCGCTTTGCACATGTGCACCAAATGTGCACTGCGTGCGTATGGGCAGTTGACTGCAAATTGTTCTGCGCATGTACAGAACATGAAAAAATTAGTAAAAAACAAGCCTGCAACAGCAGCAGCGACCAGGGAACCAGTTCGGGTGTGTGGCCAGCCTGCTGCCCCTACCAGTTTGGGGACCCAGTCCCAATTTCCACTACCGGTTAACCCGAACTGGTGCAAACTGGTAGGAACCCACCTCTGACATATATGTATGTGTGTGAGTGCATATGCACAACTGCCACCTCGATATAGGAACTGACCTGGCTTAGGGCAGGAATCAAACACATCAATTTGGTATCACTACACCCCTGTAAGAGACCTAATTTCAGCCCTCTTTGAAGTCCATTGACTCTTACCTGGCATGAATTTGCCTTGACAGCTAGTAGATCAGATTCGTGTGTATAGATTGCATGGAATAAACTCGAAGTACTTTTGAGCTCTATCCTGACTCCTGATTTCCTGCCCCTCGCCTAAAGCTCAATACTTTAAAGAGATGAAGGAGACGTCTTTCGAGAATAGACAAACAGACAGAGGTACCTCAAACATTGCGAGAAAGAAGTTTGGAATTCTCCTTCCTTCTTGCAATGTTTGAAACATGCGTGACTCCCTCCTCTCCTCCTTTAAAGTTCTTCCCCACCATCATGTTGTCTCCAGTGGATTTTTTTCCTTTTTCTAATTGATAGCACATTGGGCAGTAGGCCAAAATCTGGCAACTGTAGACTGGTAAGATTGGTGCTCCAGTGGGGCAAGGGGCTGGGGGGGGGGGATAAATCCAATCCTGGCAATGGGGGATGGGCAAAGGCTGGGGCAAGCACTGCTGCAATAGGGAAAGCCACCAGTGGGAGGAAAGCCATTGGCAGGGATGGTTCAGTTGCTATTTCATTGTAGCTGTTGCCACCCACTTCCGGGATGGAGCCATGTCGCCAGGGACACTGTGGTGCAGCGACCTACCATCCTTGCCTAAGATAAGAGATATCTGTTACTCCAGATGTCTTCCAAAATATGGGGATGGGGAAAAGGGTATGTGCCAGGTGGGATAGGAAGTCGGCCTGTGGGGTTAAGATTGGGGAGGAGTGAGGGGAAGATAGATGGGGTGGGGTGCTGCAGTGTCCCTGTAGTTAAATGTAAAGGCAAATGATGGCACGAATGCTGCAGTGGCAGTAACTTTGAAACTGGATAGCTTTTGGAAGGCTCCGTTGTAACTCGAACAGTTGCTAAGTGACCTGTCATATGTTGAGGATTGTGTTTAACTCTTGTAAAAATGCATGAGGTAACTCGTTATGACTTGCATGATGAGAGAAAATTAGAATGTTACAGAAATGAGGAGGTCTTTAATTTTAATCCTGAGCTACAAATATTCTCCTTTAATGTAACAGACAGACATTTTTGCTTAGAAAAAAAAGTAAATGAAGAAAGATATCAAAGTGTGTAAAATCACTCATGACTAAGAAAAAATAGAGAGACATTTTTCTCATCTCAAAATATAAAGTAGAATCAGCCAACCAAACTAATTGGCAGGAGATTTAAATAAGACAAAGCACTACTTCATATCACATATAATTAAACTTTGTGTTTCAGCTGTGATAATTCTGGTTTATTCTTTTATCTTTGTCATGCCTCACAGATTATTGCTGAAGGTGCTAATGGCCCTACAACTCCAGATGCTCATGATATCTTTTTGCAGAGAAAAATCCTTGTACTACCGGTATGTCTGCAGACCTGATGGCTCCATTAATGCCCATGCTCTGCTATTTGAGCCTCTAGCTTATAGACGGTTGTTGAGCATTGTCCACCTTGTAGCACCTTGGAAAACTGGACAATCCTCTTGGAATGCAGTTAAACATAACTGAATTTTGCAGTACATTGAAAATATCCAGAGCAATCTAACAAAAGTTGAATACACAAGGCAACTTGCATTTTTTTGTATGGATTTTTGAATGTTACCTTTGTTTGTATATTAATTCCTAATTTTGAATTGGTAGCAAAATGAGGTTAAAATATAAGAATATGACTTTATTTTATTACATTTATTTTTGTGTTGTAGCCTTAATGTGAACTGTAAAATTAAAACCGTGTCCAAAATGTCATAATATTGTCCTGTAGAATATAAATATTTGTAGTCCATTGGACTGAAATAAAGAATATATGCATTTAAATCCTCTAGTGTCAGGACTTAGGTAATACATTGTATTGCTCCTTTTATTACTGTAGTTCTGAATACTTTCTTTAAATAAATGAATTTCTGAATTAGCCTTTGATGGAAGTTTTATCCACTTGTCCTAACCCAGACTGGATTAATAGTAATGGTGTTTCTCAGAGAGATTTTTAGTGAAAAAATTATGTAAAAAGTTAGATGTTATATGAACTTCAAAAATTTTTACCAAATCTTTCACTGGGACTCCACAGTAATTCGCTAATATTGAGGTTGTCAGGTTCATTATTGAGTTTCACCATAGCTGGCCAAATACAGAAGTAAGTATAATCCTCACTGTGCAATAAAGTAAAGTCTTCCAAGGATATGAATTGGAAGTAGGCATGCATCAAGAACCAGCAACTTTTTTTAGCTGAGAATATATATATGAAAATTTTGAGAAAATGTTAAGCATATTCTTATAAAATGTCTGCTGGGAACTCCTCTATTCTTTTCTTTTATGATTTTCTACATAATCTCTGCTTATTTTTATTTTTTACTAAGGTGTGTATACTTTAAAATTCAATTTTGGGTCTGCATTACATCATTTTTACTTTTGAAGTAAGCTCATGGAGTCTGTTCCTCTTAGGCATGAAAAGTAAATGGAAACTGTTTTGCTTTGCAGCAAATTCCCTTCCCCCCCATAAACAATTCAATTATTCAAGTAGGACTCTTATAAATGACAAGAAAGACACTAGTGCTGTATTTGGGGCCCCAAGTTCTGTGTTTAAAAGAATCTGTGTTTAAAAGAACAGCATAATGTCCATGTTCATAGACAGTACAAATTATTTAGAGTAAAGAAATGTCAAACAAATTGTTCTTCAATCTGAACAGATGAGAAAATAGCAGAGGTGACTACAGAGGTACATTTACAATGATGTAATATGTGAAGATAACTAAGAAAGAGTTATTGGGGTCCTAAGAAAGAGTTCATTGAAAACTTTGCCTCAGTGTGCAATGGTTGTTTAATAAGGGAAAAAAAGATCAAATGCATCTATTTAAAGTGGAGATAGAGATAGAATAGCACAATCCCCTTGCTATGTTGTGGGCAAGATGTTTTCATTGTATTGTCCTAAAATGTGTTGCTGAAAATGTCTGTATTTGTATTTGACCAGACATTACTAAACAACATGTTGTAGGGGCTTTCCATAATTCATTTGACCTAAAATATTTTCAGTTGGTCAATCCAGGAAGTAATTTCTGTTCTAAGGACCAGTGTATATTCAGAAGTTTACAGAACTTGAAACCTACCATTTGGTACAAGTATGAATAAAACAAGAAATCTGTGACTGGTTTTTGGCTACCCAGTGACATTTGGCATTAGTTTTTTTCCCTATGACTATGATATTACACTACTTCATTTGCCTCCTATTATTTCTCCCCCTCCCCTTTTAAAAATCATCTAGTGATAATTGTTTACTTATTTAGAGACTCTGAATGGCTGACTTCCTAATATTATGATAATCTCAAATTGTTCAGTATTTTGAATCACTGTTGCTAATATAAAAGGGGAATGGGCAAATATCTTGGCTTTTGAAGTCTGTATTATCATTCATCCACAGCACAGGAAGTAAATTTCTGTGTTGCAGCAAAGTTGGGTATTCTTTATCTTCCGCATTACAAGATAATCAATGTGTTGTAATACAGGTGCCTGAGCTCATTTTCATTGTCAGTAAGTAGAAATCAAGCAACAATGTGTTTGTTATTTTTAAATTTGTGTGTTGTTTCTTTATATGAATTTGTAACATTCTCAGAGTTCTCTTACAGAGAATTCATCAAGTGACCGAAACTATTTGTTTCTTCATGGCAGGATTTATACATAAATGCAGGTGGTGTGACAGTTTCCTTTTTTGAATGGCTGAAGAATCTCAACCATATCAGCTATGGGCGTCTTACTTTCAAATATGAGCGTGATTCTAATTATCATCTGCTGATGTCAGTGCAACAAAGCCTGGAGAGAAAATTTGGAAAAAGCTGTGGAAGTATCCCTATTATACCCACACCAGAATTTCAAGCTAGAATAGCAGTAAGTTATATATTTAACTCCCCTTCCCTTCCCTTTTGGAGCATTCTCTTAAACAAAAAATGCCTAGGGCACTGTATTTCTCATGAAGACACATGGGAATTTTCATTCCTCACAACTTTCACCAAAAAGGAAATGTTAGGTGGTTATCTAAAACCTATAGAACCAAGAATGGAAGGAACAAACATCTCTTTCTGGTAATGAGGGCATTGAATCTTCATATACGAAACCATTTGCCATCTCCTGGATGTGGTGTATAAACCCACTCCTCACCCCATCCCATTCCAATATCCAAAGAAGCCAGGAGAGGCAAGAATCCAATTTGTAGGTGGATGACATCCTAGAAAGCTCTTTATCCACTTTCTTAACAGGCATAAAAGAAGGCCTAATTACCACAGGTAATTCAACTGGGTGGCCCTTGCCCAAGACAGCATTATCTAGAACAGGGATTCCCCAACCGCTGGTCCGTGACATGCCAGCAACAGGGTCACGCAAACAAGTGAAGCCCCATCCACGGGATGCAGGCAGCACACAAAACCACACCCCTCTAGTCCACAGAAAAAAACTCCACAGAAGTGGTTCCTGGTGTCCAAAAGGTTGGGGGCCACTGATCTAGAAGAAGGTCTCTGAAACAGCCTGCCAATTCAATAAGAAAGGTTTTTGTTAAGTCTCAGGATGGCAAGTCAGCATCCATAGACTGATTTTGTTCTCACATCAATGACCTGAGATAGGTTGGAAGCAATACACTGTGATAAATAATCTAAATATTGATAGGAAAATAGAATGATATACAGTATTTTTCTTAAGTTTGTATTTTTTTCAAGGGTGCCTCAGAGAAGGATATTGTTCATTCTGGACTAGCTTTCACCATGGAACGTTCAGCCGGGGTAGGTATTTCCGGGTTGTATTTATCACTGTCTTTAAAAAAATCATTTTGTTTTTCATACTATAGACTTTTTACTTTATGCTTGTGTGTCTGTAATATCCATTGCTGCATTACTGAAATAATTGTCACTATTACAGTGGTACCATTTTTATTCAATAATTACTTTTTAGGGTTTGGTTTCAGACAATGAAATGGCCGAAGAAGAGATACTGGGGATGGGTGAAATGGTATACTATTTGATTGAATGAAAATGGTATTTGATTGAATCCACTCTTTTGTCTATGTATCACTTCTATACTATGTGTTATCAAGAGAAGACACCAGTGGTGGGTTGCAATTTATTTTACTATCAGTTTGCTCTTGCACCCGCATGCGTCTGGGTGGGTAGGCGGAGCCTCCCACAACCAGTTCGTCCAATCTGGGCCAAACTAGCAGCAACCCACCTCATGTTGAAGTGGGTCATTCAGGATGTTAGTTCTTATCAATATAAGAATAGAGGGTTGAATGTCCACTCCAAATGCCAAGAATTGGAGAATCAACATACAGTTGCAAGAAAAAGTATGTGAACCCCTTGGGATTANTGACTTTCCTGGCTCCATAGTGATGTTTTTAGAGCAGCAAGCTGAGAAATACACATTTCACCAATGCCAACTGCAATACACCAGTGCCGTGACCTGTGGACAACACCCTGCGTTTTTTCTACTGAACCATACTAAAGGAGTGACCTATGAAAATATTTTAAAGATGTACTTCAATGCCGATATTAAAAATGATCAAAGCTGTTTGTAAAAACTTACAAAGGTGGGGAGGGGGCTTGGAACCTATAACCATCATCAGTGCATGCAGGCATGCCTGCCTTACTGTAAAATAAAGAAAAAGACTTAAATGTTTTTACTTGTATCACTGTGTTTTTATTCATTTTACAAAATTGAGCCAGTTACCAAATCTTAGCCTACTTCTAGGATTTAATGTCCAAGGACTAGAGGGAGTGCCTGTAAACAGAGGCTTCTGAGTCCCAAAAGGTGCTGTCGTAACAGAGTTGGGGCTAGCAGCAGTTTCATCCTTAACAACCAGAGTATCTTTCAACTTTTCTATTTTCTCTTTAATGGCTGTAGACCCCAACACAAAAGTCGGAACATTCACCTCAGCCATAACATTCATAAAATCATCCCATCCTTTAGGTTTCCGCTTCTCAGAAGGAGCTTGGTGTTGCGAGGTGCTTTTCACCAAGTCTAAAATATTAGTACCAGGAATAGGGACACCTTTGTATAAAAAGGTACCACGATCATCCCAGGTAGAGACGTCCTGGTGCTGTTTCATTTTGTTCTGCAAAAGTTCTGCATTTTTCCTATAATAGATGCTCACACTGCTTAGGATCTCATCCATCGCTGCGTCCTGTGGCGGCTATTCTGGTATTCTGGTCAACTTTTTAATGATACCTTTCTTTCTCTTTAGAGACCGGAATTGTGAAAGTTTCAGAGGAAGGTTTCCTTTTAGGGTATTCAGTGCTATTTCTGCTATTGACCCCACCAGGTCATTATTAGCATTGCATAAGATGGCTTTTCTCTGTCTTGGTCCGGTCTTTACTAAGATTTTTAAAAGCTCCCAATTTCTACGTACCCTCTCTGACATTCTTAAATGAACTAGTGCTAAGGTAACCGGGCTACAACTTTTTACACTTCTTTTTCATTGTATAAACAGTAGGCCAATCAGGGAAAGAGGCTTGTTCTCAACCTATAGGATTCTAGAGTGGTGGCTGCCAAATCTACCAATAGGTAACTGTGTGGTTTGTGAGTGGCATCTTGGAACACTTCTAAAAAATAATTTGTGTTAGTGGGAGACATCTGCCTGGCCAGTGTGACAATTCGCATCTGATCATGGGGGTTTCTGAATAAAACCAAATATCTGGAATTCACAGCTATTGTTCTCATTTTCTTACCTTGAAAAAACAGGTTTTGTAGTATGAGAATAATGCTCAGGTTTCTGTGATGAATGTACTGTTTAAAAACCTTCTCTATTTGGTCGCTGTCACCAGCAGATGCCATGAGATCATCTATCACGGCTAGAGTGATTTGATTTGGCGGAAACAAATCATCATCTTCAAAAGAAGATGGAAGTCCTTCCATAAACTTAACATAAGGGAATTTATTAAGCAGTTCTTTGTACAGAGGTTGCCAACAGCTATAAAACCATACAATATTTTGAGGACTTTGAGACAATACCCCATCACCATGTTCTAACATTTGTTTGATAAAAAAATATTTCCCAGAATTGGATGGTCCACTTATAATACAGGAGAAAGGGTGTACAAATTGTTCAATGTTTTCCATAATCCTTAATAACCATAAGGCAGTGTACAGTAACCCTCACTCTTTAATAACCTTTTATTATACACTAGTTTTAGA